ATTCAAACACACTCGTGTTTGTAAATGTTAAGTTACTGGTTTCCTCTTGGAACAGTTACAAAAAACAGGAAGAGAGTATCTCCCACTTTTTACCAGGCTATTGTATTGACTGAAAACCCTTCATTTCACTAATTAATTATGAGAGCTGATGAGAAAAGACTGGAAATCAGAGTATTTTACTCCAAACAGACGGAAAAACAATGACAACCTTTTGTTAAAGGCACAAACCAGTACAACTATCTGTCATTCTCTAAAGAACAAACTGTTTAAGTTCAATAAAAGATTATTTGAGGACAAATGTAAAGGGATTTGGGGTAGATTAAAGAAACGTGAAACATTTTAATTGTTCTGATAACTTAAGTCATTAAAATGCAGAGGACTGCCATTGTCCGTTCTTTGAAATATGGTGGCTGAAGAGGAGCTCTCTAAGGTCTCTTCAGGGACTACCATTTTCTAAAATCATGATGTTCACCTTACTCCCGAGTGTGAATCCGTGTTTATCCTCTCATCAGCTCTGTCTGAGGTGACTGGCTGAGAAGGCCATTTTGGGTGACAAAGAACACAGGCTTCACTAAGAGAGACCTGCGGCCAGTCCCAGCTCCTCCACCCACCAGCTACAGCAAGCTACTTGACCTTTCTCCGAAGTTTTTCAACTCAAAACAGCGGCATCAGCACCAAACCCTCCGAGCTGTTGGGGAGGATTAATTAATCGAATTCTGGCCAGGTCTGGTGCCTGTATGCACTCACTAAGCAGCAGCTGCTACTATCATTTACTATCCGGGTTAGTTCATCCAATAGCGGATGTTAGCTCAAAATAACATTCATTAATCAATAGGATAAAAATTGGGGAATCCTTTATAGAATTTAAGACCTTTCCATCACAAGCAAATCTCAATTATCTGTGGGCTGATCATCAATATAACTGGTTAGTTGTAAGGAAACTCTGGAGAGTCATCTTAAATGACACCAACTGGTCTTCACTTAGAGTTTTCCATGAGAGGGTAGAAGAGAAGGCCTCTATAAGCCAAACTATTCTTGGAGAAGGTATGAAACTATTCTTTTAAAGCAGAGGTAACCCATACTTTATGATGATGCTGTCTCTTCCCAGTATTGAATGGGAAGAAGGAGACAGATGGAAGGGAGCAGAGGGTCAGAGAGGTATGAACAGGCTGGTGAAAAACTAGGAAGTGGTAGAGCTGGAATTTAGATCCAGGTCAGTCGGATTGCCAAAGCGCATGATCTTCCTGGGCCAGCACTGGGCCTATTTCTTCGCAGGTTGTAACATCATCATTTTTGAGATGACACTCTACCACGCCTTCTCAGATTGTACTCAAGAGCATGAAAACACATCTCCAAATCTGACAGGTAGATTTTGGTTTACGTCCTGTATTGGGTTATATGGACAACTAACTGTTCAATTCCACTAACAAATAATGAGACATTTTCTTATTTAATTTTTTCACAGCAATCCTCCTTCCAAAAATCACTTAAAATATCGAGTCAATTTGAATTAAAGTAGTCCTGTAACATTCAGCTAAACTTCATAAACCCACCATTGATAAATTAAGTCATGTGGTACATACACCGACTGACACAAGCACAAATGGGAAATTGTAACTGATCTGAAAGGTACTGCTAGGTTTCTCGCTGCTCAATCTATCATGTCACGTTTGCGACTGCTCAGCATAATTGCTCTTAGTATGTTGTCCATAAAAAGTTAGTTTGCTTCTATTTAAAAGATCAGACTCCTAACCTTGACTAGTGCATATTATTGCACAAAAAGGGGACCACAAATTGTGCATAAGTCACTACACTGTGGATTATTACCACTACCAGAAAAATGATTTTTCCTCCCGATGATGCACCTACTAAGCCAGGTGCCTTGCATACGTTATTTCAATTAATCCATTTTTATTTAATGTAGGCAAGTGTAGTGGTTAAGAAACATCAATGATAGCACCTGACAGCCTGGGTTGAAATCGTGGCTCCTGTTCAATCACTTCCAAGGTGTGTGATTGTGGGCAACATTATTAATTTCTCCAAGCCTCAGTTTCTCATCTTAAAGTGATGCAATTACGGTATCTACCTTGCAGAGTTGTGGTAAGAAATTAAACTTACACATAGTGTTTACATGGTGTTTAGCATATAGTAATTACTCAATAAATATTAACTATTAGTGTTTCCTACTTTTCAGTGAGTGTCACCATATCCCTACTTTAAAGATGGCGTGCCTAAGGAGTAAAGAAACTAAAAAAAATGCCCTGGATCCTAACTCAGATTTGCTGGATTCCAGAGCCCAAGGCTCCTTCAACATACCATGCAGATCCCCACCTAACTAATGGTATCTTTTTTGGTTCTTGTATTGATGAATGTGGGTGTGGCTGGTAAAAACTTTATAGGCAGGTTAAATAAATATGGGGAGATTTTTTTTTCATTAAAACACTGCCCTTGCTCACTGGTCTGGGTCAATGTCTGTGAGAATTGCTCCTGTGAGCTGGTCAGGATGAGAAGGAAGAAGGACACCATGGCCCTCATTTTTGTGACAAAAGACATTTTCTCGGGGCAGCTGAGATGTACCTTATTTTGATTTGCGGATATGTAAGGGACTTCTGAAGCCCTATGTAACCCAATTTCAGGTATACTTTCATTTACTCATATGGCTTGATCCTCGGGGAGGAATAAGTGGAGAGTTGAAAGAGGAGAAGTCAAGGTTTACGTTAATATCTCAATTTCTACACCTTGTCAGTGGCATCTGCCTAGGCTGCACTGGCTTTTATCCTCTCCTCTCTCCATAAAGAGCTAAACTTTAAAAGAATGCCAAGGAAAGAGAAATTTTTCAAAACTGCTAAGCATAGCTGACGCACTCTGTCATACCTAAGTTAGCTAGTCCGGTCTAATGAAGTAGCAGACTCTAGGTTTCTACATGTTACGGGTTGATTCAAAATGAAATAACAACACTTGCCTCCATCCTCAGCATGATCTGCACTGACTGAGCATTTACTTACGTGCCAAATACAGTACCGAGCACGTCTCAGATGTAATCTCATTCATTACTCACTAAAGTAATTTGCCCAGTGTCATACAGCTAAAAAAAGTCAGGATGTGAACTCAGGTATAATTCTAGAGACAATACTGTTTATTCTTTTTGAAGACCTTATAAGATAGCCAACTTTTATAAATTTTTATCTTTTGTCATTCATCTGAGCCATAACCCATGAGACGTGATACAAGGACTTGTATTCTTCTGTTAGGTGTAATCTAGCAACTCGGAACTAAGCCTTTACCTCCAACCAAAGTGGTCTGAGGAACTTTTCTTTCCCAAAGCCAGGTAGAAGCTGCAGAAAGGTGAGGACTGCTGTTACAAATCTAATCTGATGGGCTTTACTCAAATTCATAATGGCTGTTGAAACAAACCCATTGGCTCTCCTAAGTTAAGATGGTGATGAAAGCAGCAGTACCCTGTTTGATCTACTGAAGGCTCGGCAGCCAAGGTGGTAGGTGTATGATGGGGAAGTGATAACTGCTGCTGGGCACGATCTCCAGCAGTCAATGGTTCGAAACCGTGAAAAGTATCTCCGTGTCAGTGACCTGGCTTTTGCTGCTTGTGTGACCTTGATCTTGGACAACTCACCCTCTCACACTCACTTCCTCATCCACAAATGTTGGTAACAGTACCTGCTGGACCTCAGGCTCAGGTGTATTAGAAGGAGAAAATAAGGTACGTGGAAGTGCCAGGTGCCACATAAACATAACAGAAGAGTAAGATGATTTTTAAAATGGAAACAAGAGCTGGAGTTCTGTGTCTTGTTAACTTGCGGATGTTTAGTTATTAATATCAAGATTTCCATTCTACTTTGTTATATTTTGGAACAGCCAAGGGGGACAGAAAAAGCATAAAGTTAGGCAGAAAAATGTGAGAGTTGCCATTACTGCTTGTCAGCCAAACTAAGTTTTCTAGGTAAGTCTAAAATTTGAAATATTGCAAAAGTACTGGTAATAGATCCGCCGTGGGTCAAATACATCTTATTTTATTATGTGGAAAAAAAATGACTGTGTGTTATTTTCCGGCCAGCCTCCAAGAGGGTTGCTTCTAGAAGGGCAGGGAAAGGGTCTCTGAGAATCTGTGTGTATGACACTATGAATACTTAGACACTTTTTCAGAAAGTTTAAAAGAAATGTTCAAACCAACCTGTCGACCACTGTAATCCAAGGAACCATGAACAGAAGAGCAAAGCCATAAAAGCAGAGGTCACATCCTGGGCCCCAAGGCTTGGGGTCCCCGTTTCTACAAAACTGCGGGATATAGATCAGTTTCCTTGGCTGACTCTATGGGAGCCTGATTTACTTACATTGTAAAATACTTGGAATTATTTTCTGCCCACCGGCCAGGCAGCCCGATGAGCCTAGATACTCGGAAACATGTCCTAATCTTATTAAAGCAGAAAATAGAAGGATAAGAGACGCTACAGAAAGGAGGAGACAGTCATAACCTTAAACACTTACAGACACGGCTCACCAAAAAGGGACACGAATCCTCCAGGAGGGACTCCACAGGCCTAGCTGTCCTCTGAAAATAGTGCCACAGTTCTGCATGCCCTGAGTAAAATGGATGCTGTCTTTTTTGGGGTATCTAATAATTTGGGCACAAAGCAGTGTGCTGTACACTTGATAATTACACAAATATTATTTACAGTTTAAGGTGACAGGTGTTTTTAAACTGCTAGAGACTAGTTAGTCTGTCTGTTACTAGAGGGTTTACGGTCTGAGATTAGATTCCTCTTGGGCTATGAATTTGTAACGTTTTTTAGCACGGAGGGGGCTTGATTACAAGTCTGTGGGTCTTAGAATTAAAATTAAACCTCATCACCACATTACAAGTATCTTCCCGTTTCCTTACGGGCAGTGCACATCCAGAACACAGACAGGACCACGGGCTTTGTCTACCTGCATTTTTCAGCCCGACTGGGTCTGGACAGCGCTGGACACAGCAAGGTGCTTACTTTTTCATGCCTGTGCTTGTCCTTTTCTTTTTCTCTCTTCTCTCTCTCCCTCTTTTCTCTCTCCCTTTCCTTGTCTTTCTTCTCCTTCTCCTTCTCTTTCTCCTTCTTTTTCTTCTTCTCCTTTTTGTCCTTTTTCCTTTCTTTCTCCTTGGGCTTCTCTTTTTCTTCGAACAGTTTTTCAGGGAGCACCGACGACAGAGCGGGCAACACGGCAGGGACCCTGGCGGCCGCCACGGGGCTGAACAAGGGCAGCGGTGCGTCCTTCGGGGGCAGCACCAGGGGCCCAGGGGCCGCTCTGGGCCTCTCCTCCCGCCCCTTCTCTTTAACCTTCTCCCGGTCTCTCTTATCTTTATCCCTTCTGCCTCGGTCTCTGTCTTTCTTCTTATCTTTATGCTTCTCTCTCTCCTTCCTCACTATTCCATCTTTCAATCTCACTTTTGGATCGACATCCTCAAATTCTTTTATTTTAAACTTATAGGGATCTGGCTCTTCGTCTTTAAGGAATTCCTTCCAGGGGTACTTGATTTCCTTGCTGCTCTCCTTCTCTTTCTCTTTCTCTTTCCCTTTGTCCTTCTCTTTACTCTTCTCCTTGCTTTTGTCTCTTTCCCTCTCCTTATCTCTCTGCTTCTCCTTCTTCTTCATTTTGGTCTTCAGTTCCTTTTTCAACTTCTTTTTGACTTCCACGGATGAAGGCAGCTTGGTTTTCTCCTCATACACCTTGTGCAGAGGTTCAGGGGTGGGAGGAGAGACCGAAGGAGAAGAGATGTAGGGAAAGCCGGGAGGCATAGTTGGAGGGGCTCCCATTTTTGCTTTCCGCACAACCTCATCAATGGATGCATCCATTGTCCACGAATTGTCAGAACTTGAAGTTCCGCCTGAAAGAGGCAGAGGAGTGGATCCTGACTTAGTGAAATTGTTGGAGGAGGTGGAAGCTTTTGGAGTAGTGCATTCTGAACCTGAAATCCTCTTAGGGCTGGTAAAAATGTCTCCTTCGGATTCCGATCCAGAAGAAAACTCAAAAGGGTCTGGCTCTCGTTCGGCGCAAGCCCGTGCAATCACGGCATTGATAGAGTCATCGATCGTTTTATCCGTCACGACAGCCTTCTTTGGCTGATTCTCATTGTTGAGTTTCCCAGGATCTGGCGGGGTCTGTATCTGTTTTACCTGAATGGTCTCTTTACTAAGTTTTTCACTTATCATAGCTGAAGGAGTCCTATTTGGTGTTTCCGGTCTGACAGGTGCTTGGGGAATATGAGTCATCACCTTGGGACTCTTGGGGCTTTTGGGGCTCTTAGAGCGTCCAGGAGATTTCTTCTCTTTGGATAAAGTTTTTGGTGACCGAATAGGACTTCCGACCATTGCTGGTGACTGAGTAGTTTTAGGTGATTTAGTCTTCTGCCCTGGAGAACTAGTTTTAGTCTTTGTTTTCGCTGTAAATGACTTCGTTTCTAATGGTTTTGTGATTGGCATTTGTGACTTTGCAACTGGAGCTAACATTGGTGGCTCGGGTGACGGAGGGGCCAGGTCTGTACTGTCCTGTACGTGGACCGGAGAGAGCATTGGCGGAATCTTTTGGGTATTTATTGAGCTGAGGGGTTCTCGCGCTTCCAATACCACTACGTCCAGGGTGTCCCCTTTAGTGCTTAATAGTCGTGGTCGCTTGATGGCAGGCATTTCTTCAGCTTCGGGACTATCCAATGGTCTCTTACCCAAGAAATTCTCATCATTAATAATTTCCTCCTCCTCCAGTTCATCATCTTCTTCCAGTGGAACTTGCATGGCTTCTGCAGACGTACCACCATCAGTGGGCACCTGCTCTTCTTCTTCTTCTGGGAAAGGAAAAGAAAAGAGCTGTTAGTGGAATATTTAGAAAGTTCTAACAAATAACAGCAATGCTTCAAACATGATTTCTAGGAAAGACAGGAATTTATTGACAGTGTTTAGAGGGTAAGTAAAGTGGTAGATCCTCAAGGATCTCCCAAACTTGCCCGCCATCATTCTCTGAAGAGTGGCAATCAGAGACAACAGATATCCAGACTGATTATTTTCTTTTCAAGTGGTTTGGCCCTACTTTCAGGATCTGGAGTCTAAGTATTTCCTGTTTGTCTTCCGCTTCCTTAATTATTTTCCTAACCTGACTAAATACTGTCTTTCTCTTCCTTCTTCCTCTTGTGTACAGCTGTGCATACGTGTGCACCGCCCCCCCGCCCCCCGCCACATACCTCTAAAGATCAAGAGGTGGGTTATTATATGACTACTACCTCAGAAATGACAAAAAAGCATACATTTTTTAGGACTCTTATAACAAATGTTAATTCTTGGGAGTTTAGAAAATGCAAGCCTCCAACCTGGATACGATTCATATACTACTACGTCTTCTGTTCTGTTTGCTTGACGTCAGCCACTCTGAGAGACAAGAGTGGTGGGTGACAAACATATTGGCTTTGGCACTACAGAGATGGTGTTTCCGCTAGCATTCTGGCACCACGGAGCAACAGGCCTTGGGCAATCTCTTACCCCTGCAGCCTGTTTCCTGACCTTTCAAAAGGAGCTAATGTTACTGGCTCGCCTACTTGACTGAGTTGCTTTAAGACCACATTATTTCTTTCTACACATATTAACGAAGCATGTTACAGTTTAGCATGGGGACACAGTGTATGTGTATAGCACACAGAAAGTGATTAGCACCATAAGACAGATAAAGAGCTAGGGAAGTTCAAAGCAGAAAGATTACTGCAATATTAAAGATCTAAGGAAGATTTCACTAATTAGGTAGTGCTTTGGATATCTGGAGACTAGGAATGGTGAAGTACAGGATGAAGGAAGAGATGGCGAAGAGATGGAGGTAGAATACAGGAGGCCGGGGAATAATTCATCTGGCAAGCAGGGTGTAAGATGGGGAATAGTACAAAGCAGGCCTACTAAGGTTGCATCCAGGCCCTAGAAGCTTTGAATTCCAGAGAGAACGAATTATCTTTATTCTACTGGTAGTCTGGACCTGGTGAAGATTTTTAGACAAGGAAGAAAAATCACAGGGTATATGTTAGCAAATTCTTCTGGCAGGAACATACACGATGGATGGGAGGTAACATAATAATGGAGAGGTGACAAGTTAGGGGTTACTGAAATGATGTAGGTTAGTGACAACAGGGTCTGATTTAGAACAGTGGTAACAAAAGGAAGCAATAGAGGTAGATGAGATTTTGAAGATAGAATGAACAGAATCTAATACATGATTAGGTCTAAGAGGGGAGAAAGGAGTCAAGCACCATCTCAAGGCTCTGAGCCCTGGTGAGTGAGCAATGCAGTCATTAAGAGAAATAAAGAAGTAGAGAAGGAAGATGATTATTAATTAGCTCAAGCCCTAGACACGCAGTTGGGCAAACAGTTAATGATGACTAGCACAAGACAAATTTGAGACATATGGACTGTTAGTTAGCATGACTTGAGAACGACACTATCACCCATCCAGGCACCTAAGTAGAAACATCATTGCAGACTCCTTCTTTCCTTTGTTTCTCCATTTCCACATCGTGAACAGTTTTCTAATGCATTTCCCATAACGCGCTCTCTCCAGCGCTACTACTGTTTGTTCGAATCCTCAGCACCTCTGCTCCGTACTTTTTTTTTTTTATTATGTTATGGTAGTCACCATACATTACATCATTAGTTTTTGATGCAGTGTTCCATGATTCATTGTTTGCATTTAACACCCAGTGCTCCATGCAGAACATGCCCTCCTTAATTCCCACCACCGGGCTAACCCATCCCCCAACCCCCTCCCCTCTAGAACCCTCAGTTTGTTTTTCAGAGTCCATCCTCTCTCATGGTTCGTCTCCCCCTCCGATTTCCCCACTTCATTCTTCCCTTCCTGCCATCTTCTTCTTCTTTTCTTTTTAACATATAATGTAGTATTTGTTTCAGAGGTACAGATCTGTGATTCAACAGTCTTACACAATTCACAGCGCTCACCGTAGCACATACCCTCCCCAGTGTCTGTCACCCAGCCACCCCATCCCTCTGTACTTCTAACTAGTCTCTCTGCCTCCAGCTCCCATCTTTCCTATTGCCTTACACCGATCTTCTGAAACCACAAATCTGAGTGTGTGACTCCCCGTCTCAAGAACCTTTCATGGGTCCCTATGGCACTACTTTGCCAAAGGAGTTCCCTGGAGCCTGAGGGACCCCTTTGGAGGCACCACACAGTGCAGACTGGGTCCCCTATTCTCTATTAAGTGGAATGGTTACCCCTAATGTTATCTATTTTACCTGCTGGCCTTCCACAAAAGCTTTTGCTGTGAGGCTAAAACAGGCTGAAAACCAGTATTCTAAAATGTAAAATTAACCCAATTTCCCCAGCACCACCTATATGGTGCTCCATCACCTGATCCGTAATTCACCTCACTTTTCACTGCGCCCTGAGCACACTGCCTTTCAGCCATGCGGACTGATTTGCAGTTCCCCTAGGACACGCTTCTGTGCCTCTGGAGCCTCTGGAGGGCTCTGCCCCCCTGACACTTTGGCGACTATCTCTCCTTAGCCTCGAATCATGAGTTCCCTCTTCCGTGACACTTTTTCATAGCAACTAGAAATAGCCACGCGTCCGCTTTGGGCTCTACCATACTCTGGTTATATAAGCAACAAGTAAGTCTAGAATATTTACTATCTGGCCTTTTACAGAAAAGTTTTCAGATCCCTGTCCTAGATCTACTCTATTCAGAAAAATTGAACAGCCCCTTCCAACCCTGTCTTCACCAGAATGACAAGACAGACCTCAAATCTGCTTAACTGCTAAGAGGCAAACATGAAAAAATTGGAAAGAAGAGAGCTTTAGGATATTCTCCAAGCGAATGAATAAAAAATTTTAGAGTACTTATTACCATTTTATTTCTGAATTCCAAATAACCTCCTCCTACCTGACAGAAGTTCATAAATCCCAACGATGCCAAAGCAGAAAGAGGAAGGTTCAGCTTAGCAGGGCCTTTAGAATATGTTAAAGCATGCCTTGCTCTCCTAACTCTGGAGGTGCATCTGGATCTAGATCAGCTCTGGGAGGGTGAGTCCCCCAGAGAGGGCCTTAGGTGGATGCCCTGGGAGGGCAGAGGGATTACTCTAATGGAAGCAATCCCTAGAAAGGGAACTCCCAGGACCAACAGAAAGAGAGTTAGTTATAGGTCCTCCAGATGAAAGGCCTGTTCTTTGTCTTTTTGAGCTAGAACAACGAATTAGAGTTCAATATTCAAACTACTAAATAATAATACTGGTCAATAACAGAGATATACATTATAAAGTTAACCCTGCAATCCTTTTTGAGAAGATAAAAAACAAAAAACAAAAAAACCCAATTCTCTCAAATCCCACATAACAGCATTGAGTCCTAAGTTAGCATTTAGGTCAAGTGGATATCACCTCCTCCCCATCTGGCCTAATAACTCTATCCTGCAATGAAAGCAGTCCAGAGCTGCTGGGGACAATTTTTAAGGAGAACAGATACTTTAGTAAGGGAAGCTACTTCTGGGCAAGTGTTACTGTTCATGCTCCTAAAGGTATGGTAAGGAATTATTAACAAAACTGGGACTTTCTATTCTGCTTGTGTTAAAATTTGGCTAACGTTAATGGTGATAAGACTTTTGATTTGATTATCCTTTGTGTGAGAATTTATTCAAACCTGTGATATCTGTTATAACTGATCATTAGTACTGTCATTCTTCAAAGAATACCATAAATTATGATAAAACTCCTACACTTCTAGGAGAAAAAAAGATATTGACAATAAGAAAAGAGACATACGAAGAACCATACTTAAAGCAGTAGGGGAAACTTTATTTTCAAAAAAATGTCAAGTCTCTGGTAAAGGCTCATGCCCGCTATCAACAACCTTGTTCTTCATATAAATTCACTAAAGTGTATACACACACACACACACATATGCTATAATTCAATCTATAATCTACTCAATCTATAATTATAAATTACATAAGTGCTATAATTCAATCTAAGGAAAACCCACCATATTAAAAAGTAACTTTTCATTCTGCCAGAGTTTTGCATACGTGGTATGCTTTCTCATTTGTCAAAAAAAGGAAATGATGGTAAATAATGTGAATGACTCAGCGCAAATTTATCACCATGGTCAGAAATACAATTTAAAAGAGACACTTAACTGGTAGCAAATTCCGTATCTTATCATAAGGTATGGAAAAAGAAGGAGATAGAGATGATCTCTCAGGTGTCTTCTCATTTAAACAATCAATGATTCCAGGTCAACATGTGATTGTAAAATGATTTTTTAACTTTTTAATTTGAAATAATTTCAAACTTACAGAAAAGTTCTAAGAACATTACAAAGAACTCATGAATATCCTTCACCCAGTTTCACCAAATTAACATTTTCCTTCAGTGTGTGACTGACTGCAGAACAATGGTCAAGTTCCCTTCTACTTACGGACCAGAAATAAGATGGGTCCATGGTAACGTCCATCTTTTTAAAACTTTCACAGATGTTGATGCAGGTAGGCAAGTCACTACAAACTCCACTCCAATTTTTCTTCATTAATGACACAAATAAATAATCCACACTTGCTACCTTTCCCAGAGGAGTAATGAGAAAAACATGCTTCTTTACCAAACTTCTTGAACAAAAGACAAAACAAGGCAATAAGGTCTAAACACACCGCAAGGGTTTTTAATAGGTTAATTCTAAGCTACTATAAATATTGACTCAGAACAAAATATCTTTTTAAGTAGAACAATAAATGCCTTTAAAGAAACACTATAATCTAAAAAGCTCATGGACATTAGGGGAAAAAAAGGAAATTGTTTTCATATG